AGCCTAGTTTTCTGGTGCTTTTAGAGTGAGAAAGAAGGGTCTAAGAGAGAGGAAGTGCCTTTCATAAAAAATTGCTCCACAAATTCTTGTTAAAACATTGAAGATATTCAAGTGAGGCACCTAAATCTTCATCCCAGGAGGTAAGACTTCATCACCTCAGCTATTAATTTTAATCATAGCTATAAAGGGTCATTAGTGAGGTAAAAGGTAAGTCATGGGGATAAGGGTGATTACATTGCATCCATGTGTTCTTAGAAGATGTGGGGAAATTATAAATAGAAAGGCATGGGGAATGGGTTGGTGTAATCTTACATAAAAGGACCATAAGCCTTTAATGAACACTCAATGCTTGATAAAATGCTCAAGTGAGATAAGATTATGATCTTTTCCTGATTATAGTTTCAATTGTGTTACATTGCTTAAATAGATTGAAGTTGCGAACATTCCGGAACATTATTGGATTAAGGAAAGCTCATTTGAGGTATGTATGGCTAAAACCCCGTCTTTTTAGAAATTGAGCTTCGTTGGTGTTTGTGTAAATGCGGTAAAATTAAAGTTGGATTGTTGTATTGATTGTTATTTCACGTGAATTGGTGTTGCGACTTTATATACGTGAACGATGTGTTTCAATATGATCAATGTGCTATTCTTGATAACTTGAAAAGCTGCGAAGAATATGAATCATGTATTGAAATGCTTAGACCTTAAATGAAGATTGTAGCTGCGTTTGTTGTGCCATCTATGTGAAGTTTTATCTATGCTTACAATTTAAGTTGCTCTTGTGTGCACCTATTATCCTAAATTACTAAGCTAATATTGAATTGGGAATGATGTGATAGTTGTGGCCCCAAGTGCCTATGAAATGATATATGTGAAACAAAGATTGAAACGAGATGATTAATGAGAAGGAAACAACACCTTGGTAAGGCAGCCTAGCCGATCGAGCCGAGATCGGACGCCATGCTGCACACGTGGTGGTATTATGCTGATATTGAATCCCGGAAAAAGGGAAAATAAGATTGTGATTGAAGTATATGTCTCAAATGTGGCAACCTAGCCGATCGGGTCGAGATCGGACTCCGCTCAAGATAGCGGTGGTATTGTGAACAATGATAAACAGTATGAAATGCCCCAAATTAAAAGCAATGGAAAATTATGTGAAAGTTGTATGATTCTTTTATTTGATGATATGATTTCCTTATTCTTGCATGAAAGTTCTTTCTTAACTAGATGGTGTTTAGTTGTACATACTAGTACTATTCCATGGTACTAACGTCCCTTTTGCCGGGGGCGCTACATTTTTAAATGAAAGTAGGTGGCTCAATAGCGGACAATGCTGATCGCTCGTAGCGGAGTGTCCTCCTCTCGAAGTCTTGGTGAGCCCATTTTTCCTTCAAGGGGTTATGTTGTACATCTTTTGTTGTAGACTTCCACTTTTGAGGTATAGCCGGGGCCTTGTTGCCGGCGTTGTCATAAATTGTCTTTTGTATCCATAGAGGCTCCATAGACATTTGCGTGGGTAATGTATGAGTGTCGGATGGGTTAACGAACTGTGCTGTAACTCCATACTCTGGTTCTTCTAAACTATAACTCTATGAAATCTTGGAAACTTAGCCATGATTTAAGATTTGTGATATAAAAATGAACTAACAATGTTGAATGTTTGATTTTGCTATTGTCTAAATAAGCGAAAGCATGGTTTCCGTAATCGTATTGAGTTGGGTAGAAAGTCTTAATAAGGCTTGCTCAGTTGGGTTCACTCGATTGAGCGCCGGTCGCGCCTCCCGAGGTTGGGGCGTGATAAACTTGGTATCAGAGCCTAAGGTTTTAAAGTGTCCTAGGATGTCTTGGAGCCGTGTCTAGTAGAGTCCTTCTTATCAGTGTGAAGTCGACCACATCTATAAGTTGGAGGCTACTTGGGCATTAGGAGTAACACCCTTCTTTGATATTTTGGATCGTGCGGTAATTGTGAAACTATTCCTCCTCTAACTAGTGCATTCCTTCAATTTTCAGTACATGGCACCTAAGATGAAAGCCAGAATTGGCCAAGGAGCCAGTGTCACACCAGGAGTGGCCGATGATTCACTACTTGATACTGTGGGTGAGGATAATCGCCCTGTTATCACCTTGCCCGATTCTTCTATTCCGGAGCAGACTACCTCAGTTCCTACATCTACGGGGGGTACCACTATCCCACCCATTGATACTCCTATTCTGCCTCCAGCCCCAGCTTCCGGTTCCGGTATTTCTGATGGGGATCTTAGGGGAGCTATTCAGATGTTGACTCAGCTAGTGGCCTCTGAGGCCCAAAGGTCAAATGTCTCACCCAGTTCATCTAGCAAGCAAGGGGATTCCACCAGTTCCAAGGTGAACAGATTTCTTCAGTTAGACCCTCCAGTGTTTACGGGTGCCAATCCAGAAGAAGACCCTCAGGATTTTATTGATGAGATGCACAAGACCCTCAGGGTTATGCGTGTGACTGAGCCAGAGGGAGTAGAGTTAGCTGCCTACTATATGAAAGGGGTGGCCTATTCGTGGTTTGAGTTATGGGAAGATTCCCGTGGGGAGGGGAGCCCTCCAGCGAGGTGGAGCGAGTTTGCCGATGCATTTATAGATCATTTCGTGCCTGCTGAGACAAGGGCAGCCCGTGCAGCAGAGTTTGAGAATCTGAAGCAAGGTAGCAGAAGTGTGTGGGAGTACCATATGGAGTTTGCCCGCCTGTCCAAATATGCTATTCACATGTTTCCCACAATGGAGGCTAGGGTGCGCCGGTGTGTTCAGGGCCTTAATCCTTTGACTATTAATGACGCTTCTACAGCTGCATTGAATTTTGACATGAATTATGGGAAGATGGTAGCATTTTCTCAGGCCACAGAGAACCGCAAACTGAAGAACATAATGGAGAGAGAGGGTAATAGAAAGACCCGGTCTACGGGCAACATGGGTGAGTCACTAGGATGGGGAAGATCAGCTTTCCGGGGAGGATCATCAGGGCCGTCCCAATCTA